GTTCATTTAGCTAGCCAGATAGTTGCTAATTAGTTAGCACATGACTAGTTTACTAGCAGGATGGCTGTTCATTTAGCTAGCCAGATAGTTGCTAATTAGTTAGCACATGACTAGTTTACTAGCAGGATGGCTGTTCATTTAGCTAGCCAGATAGTTGCTAATTAGTTAGCACATGACTAGTTTACTAGCAGGATGACTGTTCAGTTTCCTAGCCAGATAGTTGCTAATTAGTTAGCACATAGCTAGTTTACTAGCAGGATGGCTGTTGAGTTATCCCGCCAGATACTTGGTCAGTTTACTGGCCAGATAGTTGCCAGATAATTGGCACATAGCATAGCCAGTTTATTAGCAAGATAGCTGACCAGTTTACCAGCATGATAGCTAGCCAGTTTTCTTGCTAGTTAGTTAGACATAGCTGACATTTGGTCAACAATTATTTTTTTCCACTTTGCATTTCCTGTAATTAGTGCCATGTGATGTATTTTTGTGTGCGACACACACTTATTGGTGTGCATGTGAGCCCAATGGTAGGAGTCAATGCAGAGCAACTAATGCTTACGCTAACTCTAAGGATTTGTTAAATCACCTGAAACACCAACATAAAGTATAAAGTACAGGGAAAACCAGAAAATGGGGGCCAAAGCCATAATGCCGGCTACATGCAAGTGCAATCATCATCTATTGTTCATCTTATTAATTATCTATTAAYGGTGATGATTTTTTTTGCCAATATTTCCTGAGCTGAAGCTTCAAAACAGTCAGGCTCTTCAAAATCCTCCAGCGGTGGTGATATCCTCTGTTCAGTCTGTGCAAATCAGCCTCTTTCCAAACTGAATAAGGAAGAACGACTGGTGACCTTTGACCTCCTCCTTCTTCCTTGTTTACAAACCACTTTTTCCCTCTGAGTGATGAGATCCAAACCCAGAACCTGACTGTTGGGATCCTGGAGTGCTGCCAAGTGTGTCCGGGCAGGGCGTTGGAGGTTTACACAACTCCAGATGGTGTATTTTACATATGTAAATAAAATTACCTCTGTGCACAACAAACACACAACCTCACTCCGACCAGCATTGCCTTCTGAGGCGTCCAGGTGCTGATCGTAGATCAGATAACTTTAACTCCAGGTATGTTTTTACCTTGTTGATAATAGACAACTTACAGAACAACTTAACATGCTGTTTTTCTCAAACATGGAACTGGTTTTAATAACTTTAAGGTGTTTAAAGTCTTTCTTGTATTTAACCAGTTCAAAAGTTTTAGTTTCCATGAATATTTCAGGGGGTTTGTTTCTTAGTTCCGTCTTTTCCAGAAGTTTATCTCGTCTGGCTTGTGATCTTTTTCGGAGTTCCCACGGCCCAGACCAGCTTTTTACCGTTGATGGTTTGTCGAGCCAAGAACAAAAGCTGATTTGCATTTTTATGCTGCTTTGAGATCAGGAGCCAGATTTATCTTGGTGCGATCAACACCAACGTGCAAAACGGCAAAGAAGCGCAGCCTCTGGGCGGAGTCGAGTTTTCAGTTTGGTTAAAGTTTGATGAACCAGAGGACAGTAGAGGAGTACAAAACCTGAACCTGAGAGCTCAGAGGATGGGATAAATCTTGTGCCAGCAGGAATTGAAACTGAATTGCTCAGATTGAATCTGTATGTGCATAATTTGAAATTGAATGAATTGGTTTGAAAATGAATTTTACTAAATTGAAACTGAATTCAATGGTTTGAATTTGAATTAATTTGCTTTGAAACTGTATTTTGTTCAATTAATAATTCCCGTGTTTTGAAAGTTTTTTTTAATCACTAGATTTCAAGTGAATATGGTTCAACTGAAGTCAAATATAATTACTTATTATTTTATATAAATAAAGTTTATATTTATATGGTGACAAATGTTTGGATCATTTTCCAAAAGAACAAACATTCAATGACAAGTCTTTTCTGTCAGGTAAGAAAAAATAAAAAAATTTTGGATGCAAAAAAATTAAGATTTTTTTTAACATTTATTAATGGTACCATCATGGTCTGTCCTGTGCAGAATGACAAAACACTAAATTATTTCTTTACTAAAACTTCTGAAACTTTGCTCCAGTTAATTTTAGCAGCATGATTCTTTGCACAGGTGATGTCCACAAGTAGGGGTGTCCCGATCCGATATCGATATCGGATATCGGTCCGATATCAGCCAAAAAACGAGTATCGGATTTCATCGGACTGCATAAAAAATGTCCGATATCAGCGCTCCGATATTAGCAGTCCRTTCCAGCATTTCACTGACTCCGCTCCAGTGTTTCTATCCAGCAGCGCTTGGATCCTGCTTGTAGCGCTCACGTGATCATAACAACAGCAGCGCTAACAAGTTAGCAAGAATGTCGGCAGCAGAACTTTTTATTTTCATCAGAAACAGAGTTGCAGCTAAGTGTAAAGTTGTCAGGCACAAGTTTTCCGAGGGGAAACACAGAACCGTGAACGTTTTAAACCGGAGCGACAACTACTCTCCACCCTGGCAGCAGCTTTGCGGTTCGGCTCGGTTCAGCCTCGGTCCAGTGACCGCACACAGCCGCGCTGTTTCGGAACCTCCTCTCTGGTCCGGTCGGTGATTCTAAGCGGGCAGAAGCGAGGACAGCACGCTTGTTTTGACATCCGTGGATTAGCTCTTGATGGACAGAAGAAAGGAGAGCGCAGATTTTGTTTTGAAATATAAGCGCGACATGAGGAGAGCAGTGATAAAAACTGCTCCCTGCAGGAGAGAGAGGCTGATCTCCACATGATGCTCAGACTGTAGAAAGTGGAAATTTAGCACTAAGAAAGGTAGCTATCAATTTAAATAACTAATTCTTATTATTTATTTTTTGCTCTTGTTATTAGAGTGATGTTTAATCTGTTTACACACTTGTTTGAGTGAAGATTAAGTGCAATGATCACGTTGTTTTAGTTACARTCAGTAAAACTGGAGCTGTGAACTCTTAACTTTGAACAGACAATAATGTGGGGTTTTGTTTTGTCCCCACCTTCAGTTTTTTCCACCATAAAGCAGCACAAGGCTGACAGAT